GAGATGGCACTAGGGTGGTTGAGCAGTGTGGGTCAAGACAGTTGGCACTGATGAAGATGTTGGCAGGGATGAAGGTTGGTGATGACCCGACGAGGCCATCGCTTGAAGGACTGCCTGCAATATCATGGCCTGCAGCTGATCAGCATAGGAGGAATCCTGTGGAGAATGAAGCCCTGCTGCAGTTGGGGTGAAGATCGCTGTAGGTTCCATAGAGGGGCTCGGTGGCTCGAGTTCCTCCCCAAAGAGGGGTGGGCCTCCCTGACCAAAGGTCTGTACTGAGACCTGCTGAAGCTCTCGCTTTGGGGACCACACCCGTGTTGAAGTGAGTGATTGCGAGTCCATTGCGGGAGCTGTGGAGGGAGGAAGTGGTGATTTGCGCCCTTTCCTAGCTGACAATTGTTGAGCCCGAGGGAATTGTTTCTCCAGGGCCCGGTGCGAGCAATTGGCCTGCTTGTCAGCTGACTTGCTTGAGCTCTTGCCAGATTATATACGGATCTTCTAAATTTAGGTTGAAAGAAATTTCAAGTGAAATTGGAAGCTATCAACTAGACGTTGGTCTCTTTGTACAGAGTGAGGCCCAGCTGTGTGTGAGGAGATCAAAATGGCGGCAAGGCGAGGGGGGGGGGAGCAACTGGTGAGGGAATCCTAATTAGAGCTTGCCATGGTAAAGCGAGAAAAACTAGCTTTGACTGACCAGTATTGCTTGTGACCGTTTGATGGGCTCTACGAGTCACGGACTAATCCTCCTCCAATATTCAAACCTCAAGGGTAAGGATTGTCAGTGCCAGTAATGGTCGTCTCACGGCACACCAAAATGGCAGCTGCGCTCCGAGAACGGAAAAGGGCAAAGTCTTGAGGCTTTGGGGCTTGAAATGGCCATTCTACTCCTTTTCCTTCACATTCCTTTATGTAAGCATTATGTTTATCATTTGAAAGGTACAATATAACTGGTAATGTTGGTATATTAAAAAAGTAATACTCTTTTTATTGTTATGATGACTAGAATCTAATGTTCTTTTATTCTTATTTCTGAATGATATTGATCTTGATTTAGCAACAGAAGGGCATTTAAGAATTGGGGATAACTTATTTTTTCCACCAATAAATAGAAATAAAGGGTATATATTGTAACTGGATCTTTATCTATTTCTTTTCTCTTTAATCTGCATAACAGATTGTGAGCATCATATGACATTATTTTTGATTACAGAGATTATTTTCCATATTTTCATTTACAATTCCCATTTTAAAAATTATGAGCATTATAATCGAAATTGAGGATTTTCAACTTTTTGGAAACATTTGCTAAAATTTCGGTTGCCATTTTCAGATATCTAGTTCAATATTGTATGACTGTAAATGTTCAATAATTTTATTGATGGTTTATTTTTAATGTGGTTAGGATCTACAAAAGCAGCTATCGTTGAATACTATTTTCTTTAGTGATCAGTTAGCAATTGTGAAAAAAAGACAATTGAAGCTTAATCAATCACTGCAAATTTACAAATGGAAATCAAGTTCCTGAAGCTAAAACTTAAGATATTTAAAAGTTTCAATTAAATATCTCTTACTACAGAAGGCATCCAAGGTGCTATTCACTAAATGTTCCTTTGAGGTAAGCCTATTTTGTTCTGTGGGACATTCTTTCAGCCTTTTTTGTGGTATTTGTTGTTAATGCCTCAAAGGAAATCATTATTAAGATTAAGACTAAAAAGATCATTAAGCAAACACTGTGGTTGTTAAGCAAGTCAATGCATTCTTATGGTCATTTTTTGCCAGAAATGTCATCAATATGTCATGTTTATTTATTTATTTATTTATTGGCTTTTCGTGGTTATTAAAGTCAGCAAAGCAATCTAAGTCAATATCAGCCTAAAAGCCACAGCACTTTGAAAGAGTTAGCCTGAAGGAAGTCCAATGACCTTCCACAAGGTATGGATCAGCTGAACAATTTTTTTATCATTCTTAACTTCCGATCATTTGTAAGCTTTGTTTCTGCTGATAATTTCCCTCTTGTAACATGCATCTTATACTAAGATTTTTGGAGGGGTTTTTTGGCAGACAATTTATAACTATGTTATAAACTTAATTTTGTTACTGAAAAAGGAGCTAAAGGATGAACTTTAAAATTTCCTGGATTAGTAGGAAATCCTTGGGATAGTTAAGGAAATGTTTTACTAAGAACTTGTTAAGACATGGGACAACGTATGGATTGTGATAGTATTTTATGCTGATCCATGGTTTAATTATGGTTTGTTGAAGAAATAATGGATAGTTCACCCAACATGCTAAGACAAGGCCAACCATAAAAAAAGTTGAAGCATTCTACAAAACAAAGCTATTTCTGATCCACTTGCATGCCCGGTATAGAAGTTCATGAAGGTTTTGGCATAGCTGCCATCTTTTGAGGAGGTGGGAAGTTGGCAGTTCTCCAGCATGATGGATGAAGAATCCACCAATGGGTTATTTCAATCCTCCTGCCCAATCAGACTAGGTTGTCAAAGTTGTCACGCCCGTCCTTGCCTGGTGCCTCCCAGTTTCAACTTAGTCTGTTCGCCCATGAGGACGTGAAAATTTTGATTCCCAAAAATTTTGACTTCTAACAGGTTTGATTCAAGGGAAATATTTTCCTTATAACCCATTAGTGGATTCTTCTACACAGCTTCTGTCCTACTTTTCTCTTAAACTCCTTAGGTTTCTACCACCTAAAACCCTCGCCCCTCCCCCCTTAACTGTCAGCTCCACAGGGAGCTACAGCTTCCACTTTGGGAACGTTGTTCTCCCAAAGTTTCAGGGTTTTAGAAATCCATTAGAGTTTTCTCTCTGACAGGGCAGCCAGCAACTATCTAGCTTCTGTCCGGCTTTCCTCCAGGAGCTCTGTTCCCTGAAGTCTCCCTTAGCTGTCAGCTCCGTAAGTTGAGCTGCGGCCGCCATTTTGTTGGCCATTAATCTATCAGGAGGAGGATTAGTCTTGCTTCAGGGACCCTTAATTGCCTTCAGATGCAGATAGGCACCTATTTACAGCGTGAGGGTTAAAATCTCGCTGCTATTTTCCACAACACTCACCGGAGGAGAGGGAGACACGATTGGCATTTTTTTAAAAAAATTTATTTTCCATTTATCCAACATAGTTATACAACAAAATTCACTTTACAAAATAAAATAAATTCATAATCATAACCATAACTATAACCATAGGTGCCGCTTGCTCGCTCCCCCCAAGCTGCATCCACCCTCCCTAATACCTTCCTTACTTCCCTCCTCTTTCTCTCCTCCCCTCACTACTCTCTTCCCCTCCCCTTCTCCTCTTACCACCCTACTTCCTTCCTTCACCTTCCTCCCCTCTCATCCCTCTCAAAAACAGGAATACAGCGTAGGGGAAATGCTCAAGCAGCACCTCTCTCATAAATTACCATATCTATATTATCCTATTCTACCTATTTACCCACCCACTCACCCACCCACCCACCTCAAACCCCCCCCCCTCACTTCCCAGAGCAGAGTACAGGGTTATTAATAACAAAATAAAATATATAATAAAAAAGAAAAAAGAAAAAGAAAGAAAAAAAATTTATACTTAACCCTTAACTCCCCTTAAATTACATGATCATAAACAAATGTCTTATACAACATTTACTATAAAATTTACTCATAAAATAAATGAAACTTTATAGTCCCATACTTCTTCTGAATATAATCTATCCATCTTCTCCATACAATAATATATCTTTCTTGTGTATGATGCTTTAAATAAGCAGAAATTTTTGCCATTTCTGCTAAATTAGAAACTTTAAATATCCATTCTTCTAAAGTAGGCAACGAATCTTTCTTCCAATATGAACCTACTAGTAACCTTGCTGCAGTTAATAAATTCAGCATTAAAGTGGTTTCTTTATCATCCAAATCCACAAAAATATCCAATAAAAATAATTGAGGAGTAAACTTTATCTTCCTTTTAAAAAGCTTTTGAATGTTCCACCAAATCATTTTTTAGGATCTAAATGCCACCTATAAAACATTTTATAAAAATTTTCCCTCAAATTTTGAGCTTGTGTAAATTTAACATTTCTAATCCAAATTATCTCCCGTAAATCCAATGGGATCGGTTCCTGGATATTCTGAGCCCACTTAATCATACAATCTTTAACCAATTCTGTTTCCGAATCTAATTCTATTAAAACATTATAAATTCTTTTTATATGAACCTGATTCTAATCTTTAATCTGAATTACCAAGTTTTCATCTTCTAATGTTATTCCCTCTTTCTTATCTACAGTCCACCTGTCCACTATTTGTAAATATTGAAACCATGACTGTAGAATATTTTCTTGCCTTAATACATCTAAGGATTTTAAATGCCAACGATTGGCATTTTTCATTCAATTTTGGTTCCGGACTTGCCGCAGCTGCCGAGAGGCGTAGCAGCCGCCGTGCCTCTCAGCTGTCTGGCACGGATCACCAAATCCTTCAGAACGACTTAATTACATTAGGAGGAGAGAGAGACTGCTCTCTGCGCGTCTCCTAGAGCTTTCTTTAGAGCAGCGATGATAAAAGTAAAAATTTCTTCATTTCAATTCTAATAAAGGCCCAAGATGCTTCATTTTTTTCCCTTGATATGATGCTAAGTAAGGTAGATTTAGCCATTATATAGATTTCAATATGCTATCTAGGCCTAAGACATCAGAAATAGAGTATTTCATCTGACTAGCTAAAGCAAGAACCATTCTTATCAAAATCTGAATTTTCTATAAAACTGAGCAAAAATGAAAGGAAGGGGGAAGGGCAAAAAAAAAAGTTTAACTCAAAACATTCAGGTGGATTTTTTTTGACATTCATCTCTGATCACATGCTGAAAATAAGATGCGTAAGTAATTAGCTTAGCTAGCCTGAACGTATCAATTTTAATATACAGTTTCCACAAGTCTATTTATAATCTTCTCATTTTCCTACATTCCTATTTTCCAATAATGTCTTTTTTATATTTAGAAATTTTGATTTCATTGATTGATATGAACATTTATGACTAAAACATTCCTCATTGCATAGTTGTGCAGCTTCTCATTTTCTTTCAGGACTGATACAAGATTTTGGCATTATACGAAAAGATCTTACTATATCTAATTTCCTAGAGCTGGGCTGAAGAAAGAAGTCATTGGTAAAAAAGCATACAGCTGGACAAGCTAGTCTGTGTCAAGAAATTAAACCTAGACTGGTCACAGCCTATCACTGTTATGTTTTATTGGTAAAGCTTGAGAAAATATATTCTACCAATGATGTTTGAAATTACTATCACTTCCAGAAAATAAGAAACTCCCAAAGAACTAAAGTAGGAAACCAAATGCAGCACATCTATGTCTCTAATTGCTGGATAACAATTTAAGAATCTGAATACAAATAGATTTCCTTGTAAACTAGAGCTTTGAGGAAGTTGTTTTTGTTTCTAAATTTTGTATGTGCAAAATTGATGTTCCTCCTTGAGCAGGTTTTCTGTTAATTTCAATATCAAAGGAATCTTGGAGACTTGAGGATGGTGCCTGTAGGGAACGGTCCCGACTGCATGCTGAAGCAAGTCAGCTTAAAGCATTTCTTTATAGGGCTCTCCCAGAGCCCAGCTACGTTGTTCTAAGCAATGTAACTTGCACGTTACCTGGATTCTCTTATCACTGGCTTCCAATTTTGGGGTATATGATGTTAATTTACGCATTAGTTCTCCTGTCTCTCCAAGTTTCTTCTCTTTAGAAAGTTTCTGCAACACCCGCAAGGCGTCCCTTGTTTTTAACAGTTCTGCCTCAACCTCTCTCAGCTTGTTGGAAGCCCTGCGCTCTTTTTTGTGAGATGTCCTGAGAAGCGATCTCAGAGTCAGCACTTCATTAGACTGCGTGGCCAAAAGATCAGGCAGGTTAATCTCTGCATTTTTATGTTTACTAATTGCTTTTAAATGTTGAGACTGAAGATGCTTCAAGATTTTATTTTCCACAGTAAATGTCTCCAATTTATTCCACACAACAGCCACTTCATTTTTCAATTCTTTAATGTTGTGGTCTCTTGCTGACAATAGATAGAAAGCCATGTTATTTTTCTCCTGAGCATTGATAGTATGGTCAGTTATAAATGTGGTCTTCTGCTGAGATTTCTTTTTTAGGAAATGTTTTACCTCCTTCATTAAAAAAAAAATAAAATGAAAATGGCATATATAAGATTGAGCAAAGTAAGAATCACATAATTTTACATAAGCCTCAGAGCCAAATGTTCAAATATGTATTCACCACATAGATTTTCTTCCTTTCATATGATTTGTTGAGTCAATCTCTAATGCAACTATTTGTTAATTGACCTATTGTGAAAATCATACATGAGCTCTCATAATATAAGCTTTTGTAAGGAATAACTGCTATATTCACATACTATACTAAGACAGTGTTTAGACAAGTTTAAGATGCATGGACTTTAAGTGCTAGAATTCGTCAGCCAGCCATGCCTAAAGCAGGATTGGTAGGCCTGCACCCTAACCACTATATAAAATTGCCTAGACAGATTCAGTGACAGATATACACCAGGCATGTCAAACTGCCGGCCCGCGGGCTGGACACATCACGGCGAAACCGAGCCCACCCCATTGCCGGCAATGGGGAAAAAGACCTGATATGTTGCACAATGTCATGTGATGTCGCGAGTGTGACATGCCTGATATACACATACACACACACACAAATATACACACCATATCTAAATACTGAAAAAAAAGTGAAAGTAATGGACTCAACAAGAATGGAAGAGTGACCATTCAAATTTGCAAAGTCCTTTTGTTTTTCTGGACCCCACTCCCTATCCCTTAGTGTAATTATTGAAATCATGAGACACTGACATCTGTATGACCATGATCAACTGGTGAACTATACCCATTACCAATAACTTGGGAATTACACCCATCAACACAACCCCCATTACCTAGAGCAGTGGTTCTCAACCTGTGGGTCGGGACCCCATTTGGGGTCGAACGACCATTTTACGGGGGTCACCAAACAAGGCTGTCCGCCATTTTTCCCCCCTTTTCTTTGGCCATGCCCCTGGCACCCGGTGATGTATAAGTCTGTATTATGGGGTCACGGCATTAGAAAGGTTGAGAACCACTGACCTAGAAGGAAGAATTACTGGCTGGGGATGTTGAAAGCAGTACATTAATACATTAATCAACTACAAACAGTTTAAATATTTTTAACAACATTCATTTGACTTCCAAAAATATAGTATACTTTCTACAGTATAGAAGTGTGAGGGTAACTCAACAAAAGTGCAGTTATAGCACAACTGCTTGCTTTTCAACAAAGGTTTAGTTGCTATTAGTTCGGTTATAATCTGCCAAGTACAATGAATACAGTAGTGTTTTGTGTGAGCAATGGCCTTCTTACCTTTTACATGGACATAATTTCCCTTTTACTTCTCCAGTAAGTTCCTCTCTTTAGTTTTTGGCTGCTGGAGCAATGGGATAATGAAGCTTCCACCCTCTTCTCTTGTGGAGGTTTCAGAGGAATCTGAGTGAAAATCTTTGTAATAGTAATTCTGAGACATTCCACAGTTGTTCTCTTCTGAACAAATGCTATTGTTGCTGCCATTGACAGCCGTTGTTGAAGCATCATCATGAGAGTCATTGGAACAGTTAAGCACTTCCAGACTGGCTGGAAGTTTTGCTACAGTTGCTGTCTACTGTTTCTGGTGCTCTTCTCTTAGACTGTATGATGAAGGGGTATATCATCAGAAGCCATCATTCCACCAATGGCAGGGAAGACTGTCAATTATACTTTAAACTTCCCAAAGGAAATGGCCTTGTAGTCAGACAAGGAAACAATATATGATGTCAACATTTACTTAAGCCTTCATCTAATACAGTGGTTCTCAACCTTTTTAATGCCGCGACCCCCAACCGGTCGTAAGTCGAGGACTACTCAACCAGTCGTAAGTCGAGGACTACTCAACTGATGCAGCACCGTTTGCAGAATGGGACTTTTGGCGGGCTCAGCAGGGCAGAGACAGCCTGGACAATTCTTATTGGCTTTTGAAAGCCAATAGAATTAGACTCTATTCAAGAGAGTCTATTCTATTGGCTTTCAAAAGCCAATAGAATGAAACGGAATAGCACAGCTAAGGGGAAAAAAATGGCGGACTGCATTGTTTGGCGACCCCCATGAAATGGTCGTTCGACCCCAAATGGGGTCCCGACCCACAGGTTGAGAACCACTGATCTAATACGTTTAAAAGTTGTTTGCTCTGATTCTGTACAAAAAAGGTCACAATTTTGATCCCTTGCATTATATCATTCACTTCTTGAACTGATGTGTTCATTAATTAATATGCTATTTTTTTTTGGCATTCTCATTCACAGAATGCATTTCCTCCAGAGTCCTGAGTTCTTTCAAGGAGCTAAAAAGACTAAAATAATAGCATTACAGTTCACAGAATACCTGGACTGACATTAAAATTATAGAATAACAGAGTTGGAAGGGACCTTAGAGGATTTCCAGTCCAACCCCTAGCTCAAGCACGGATGCAACATTATTTCTTTCACTCAGACTACTTATGGAAAACAGTATACAGAGAAAATACCTTCCTGCTAAATCAAGGTCAAACAAGTAGCAACTTATTCCTTGCTAGTTCAGAAACCCTCCAACTTTCAGGATTGACCTTATTTCTGCACATTTTAAAAACGTGTATTTTAAAATGTGTTAAGGAAAAATTAAAATAGGTGGACAATGCCTTTTGGTTAGCCCTACTGAGGGGCAGATGACACATGATTTTGTAATTTGTTAATTAACAGTTATTTTGTATTTTAATTTGACTTTTCTTTCTCTTTTAAAATAATGTTCAAGTTCATTATAGATTGGAATTTAGGAAAATTTTTATCCTATGGTTCTATGAATTGATTAGATAGCATTTAACATTCCTAAACTGAAAAGATAATTTACAGAAGAATATTCTAGAGATTATTTCCTATAAGAAAATGTTTCTTAGTGTCAACTGGCATCTGGTTATCTAACTTGAAACAAGTTTTGGAGTTGATTTTCTGTGTAAAGAGGGGCTACTGTTATCTTGTCCAGCTAACTTTCCTCTCATTTTTCTTTTTGTGTTACCTACAAAAAGGAATGTAAAATGGGTGATGGGTTCTCTCCTTTTCATAGAGAGCTCCCAATATCAGGGTACCCTAATAAACTGCTTTTAAATTATCTTACAACTCAGTTGCTTATTAGGAAGGTAAACCAAGGCAGAACCTAGGGCCAGATTTGGCTATCAGAAAGCCAGCCAGAACGTCTCTATCTCAGCCAGTTCTTTCTTGGGCTACAAACAGTGGTGGGATTCAGATATGTGAACAACCAGTTCTCTGTGTGAATGCCACTTCCAGAAGTCCATTCTGGGCCTGGGACACAAAAAATTAGCTACCGGTTCTGACGAACTGGTGTGAACTGAATCTCACTACTGGCTACAAATCATTATTCATGGAAAAGCGCTCTTCAGAAGAATTTCTTTTGACATTGATTTTTATCTGAGGTCCAGAAGACTGCTGTTGGAGTCTTATAAAGGGGCACTAAAAGAAAGATTGAGCAGGTGTCTATCCAGATGAGGTGTATTCAAAAGAAATTTGGTGAGTGTTGTTTACTTTTCTTTGAATTTCTAGTGAGCAACGGAAAATCTGACTCTGAAGAGAGGTAAATCTTCTGATTGTAAAACTAACTGATATTCTAATGCAGTGGTTCTCAACCTGTGGGTCGGGACCCCATTTGGGGTCGAACGACCATTTCACGGGGGTCGCCAAACAAGGCTGTCCGCCATTTTTCCCCCTTTTCTTTGGCCATGCCCCTGGCACCTGGTGATGTATAAGTGGTTGGGGGTCACCACAACATGGGGAACTGTATTATGGGGTCGCAGCATTAGAAAGGTTGAGAACCACTGTTCTAATGAGAATAGAGGATAGAGCTGAAAGGGACCTTGGAGGTTTTCTAGTCCAGTCCCCTGCTCAAGCAGGAGAATCTATACTATCTCAGACAAGTGACTGTGTAGTCTCTTCTTAAAAATCTCCAGTGATGGAGTGCCCACGACTTCTGGAGGCAAGCCGTTCCATTGGGTAATTGTTAATGAGCAGAGTTACGAAGAAATTGGAAAGTATTAAATACTTTTATTGCTCAAGTAATGGCTGTTCTCAGCCTTGCTTTAGGCTATAGATGGCTGCATATAGTCATATCACAGTATAAGAGCCTCCTCTGCAATTATGCTGATATGGCAATTTCTCCTGATTTGTCTTTGTAAAAGGAGAGGAAAAGTCTGCCTAGCAGCTTTGTTTTACATTGCATGATTATGTACTTAAGCCTAACAAGATTCAAGGGCCAACTATAGATAGTTAAGTTCAACTAATTTTGGAATTTTTTTTCATCCCTAACTTTCTGAATTTTAGTCTGTCTGAACCATTTACAGGTATTTTGCCAACAAAGTACAAGAAATATGTGGAATGGTGGCAAAAAGAAGGTGGACACATCAGGTTCTGGTGAGCTGTGGCTTGCACTCCCTATATCTGTGACTTCTCTGGCACCTGTGGCAACAGGCTGATGTCCAGGTGTCTTACCAGATTCAGAGGCTAGGAACAACCTACTCAGTTATAGCATCCATTACTTTTTGTAAGTCTTTTTTTTTAAACAGCTGATTTGTCTCCTGTCTGACCATGGGTCATTCAAGCAAGGAAAGCCACATATTTCACCTACTGCAAGTGAAATCCCCAGGGGAGAAGATTTGCATATCCTATGTGTGGAAGGAAGAAACTGCTTTCCTGCTGGTGGACACAACTGAGAGTTATAGCAATGGAACAGAAAATGCCTGATAATATCAATATGGAACCTGAGTGGAAATACCAATAGGTGTGTAGTGAGTGCTAATAGAATCCTGGCTCCCTGGAACTAATAACTAATTATTGTCTTTTGAGTCAGTAGATTTTAATAGGAACCTGTGTGGTGAAACTATAGCCACTTTGGGAAGAGTTCTCCGTACTACTGAAAACTGTACAACAATGGATTTGGTTATGCTTTTCCTATTGATCACTACAGATACTGAACAGACTGATCACCATTTCAGCTACAACAAGATTAGCATTGCTGCACTGTCCTAGGATTGATGCTATATTGGCTTAATGGAATAGTGAGATGGTGAACACTTGAGTATTGATTTGTATGTATGTAACTACTTGTATGCTTTCATTTATTATGTGTATTTTTTGTTGATGTTCCATGTCTTTAAAATGTATTTATAGGCAAATTACACCTTAAAGAAACCCCATTAAGTGAACCTCCAGGGAATACTTGCGGAAGATTGGGTGTAGCAGACTGTGAGGGCAGTAACTTCTGAAGATAATTGACCTTGTATTTACACTTTCTTCCTACAAAGGGATAGCTTGCTCTATAGAGCAGAGGGACTGCATGGCATGGAACATGCTAAACAAGATGGCCCATATTACACCATGTCACCTATTGACTTTGAAAGCTAATTTCTTAAAATGTCCTCTCACCTTGTTGTATGTTTAGAGCTAGCAGATTTCTGAGTGTGTATATCACCTAAGGTGGGCATCCTTTTTTGTTGGGAGTTCCTTAACTCTTCATGGCCCCATTTTTTTTCTTGATGCATCTTATTTCTTAGTCACTAGGATGACTCAGGAAGATCTATACTTCCCCCCCCCCCACATAATGGTCATTTTTGTTGGGAATATGACATACTGAAATTGGGCTTTTTTTAAAAATAGAGTTTTATTGACTTTCTATTTTTACAAATCATAGGTGCTTAGGAAACAATGTGATGTCTGGGTTCATTTTTTAGTTAATACATTTTAAAATTATTCTATGTCTTTTTGTTTGTTCTTCAATGTCGCTCTGTCAGTTTCTACACATTCTGGCATTTTCTTAATCCCTTCTTCA